CAGCGGGGAATTTGCCTGGCATGTTCCCTGCCTCTGAGCATAACAGCATGGGAGGCTGTGTTCTCAGCCAAGGGCAGGAGCCCTTGGTCTAATCCATCAACTGAAGTCCAGGATTCCTCCTTTAATACTGGGCAGCATCTTGTGGTTTTAAAGGCTGCCAAGGTCAAGGCCTGGGATCCCACGTCCCCTGCTCCCTGGACCCATCTCAGAGCCATCAGCACAGAAGCCACGAACCTCTGGAAACCCAGGAGTCATGAAATCCAGGCTCCCTTCCCTGAGATAGGACTCCCCTGGACATCACTGTCTTTGATGGGGCGTCCAGCCTGTCTGGACACCTTCAGCGATAGGACGTGCACTACCCCAGCAAGGAAAATGGCTGACATTCATAGTCCTTAATGTATCTAAATGTCTCAGCCTGAGCTGGCAGGAGCAGTGCCCACAGCGCCCATGGTCCCACCTGATTTGCCCAATTGAGGGTAGAAGAATCGGGGTCTTTGTTGCATGCACAGGCTGCCCCTTCCGTGCACCTCTGCCCTCTGTGCCCGTGGACACAACATCAAGAAACCGGGCTGTGGTTTGGGGCAAGGCGAATGCGTTTTCTCCAGCTTGTAGTGAAACCTTCCCAAGGTGCCGGCCCCAGGATGTTTGAGGGTGGGGGTGACTTATGCAGCAGTGCCAGTCCCCTCAGCAGGAAAAGGCTCAGAGACAGATCTTGCCCTGGAAGGGGAGAGCTCCGAGTCACGGTCTGGGGAGAGGAGAGGGGCTGTCTGTGATCACTCAGCCCCGAAATGATGCTCATGATGTCGGCTTTCCAGGCCATTAAATCGAGGGCCTCATGCCCCCCTCCCCCCATGTGGCTGCCTGCTCTGGGAGATAAGCCCAGTTCTATTTAACCCTATTTATTCTCTCAACGTGGCCTCCGTCTCTGTCAGCCAGGCACCCCGGGGATACTGAAGGCTTCAAACAGCTGAGAGATTGAGCTGCAGTGTCAGGAGGAGGGTGAGCACTGCCCAGCTCCTTCTCGGCTTAGATTCCCGATCCAGGGGTCCCCAAGATGGTGGGGTGGCTCTGGGAGGACAGTGGCCATTCCCTCCATCCCTCCAGCCCTAGTTTCTCAGTCACAAGATCCGGGTCCTGGCACTGGCAAAGAGGAAGGCTGTGGCTCCTCTGCCTCTTTTGCATCATGTTGGCTGCCGGCTCTGCCTGGCATGGCCGGCCCCGTGGCCCTGCTGCCCTCTGCTTCTGTGCCTGTTCACATCTCCCCATCCCGTTCTTCCCTTTGTTCTCTCCTCTTTTCCCCTTCAGTGATCATGAAGGGTATTCCGGACTATTAGTCTCAGGGTGAACCCAAGTGTGCGTGTGTGTGTGTGTGCAGGCGCACGTGTGTGTGCGTCCTCATGTCTGGGAGCCTGCCAGTGTCCAACTGCCCACGTGTGTTCCTGTCCATTCTGTGTGCCTCAGCCTAGTGCCAAGCTGCATCTGCCCCCATGGATGGTTCCATAGATGTCTGTTCTGGTTTCTTTGTGTGGTGGCCAGTCTCAGTACAAATCCCATGTGTGTGTCTGTGTGCCAGCTTGGCCTTGACCTGGTGTGTTGCTCTTTTGACCTGAGCGTGTAAAGCTACCAATGAACTTGAAGCTGTATTTTGGTCCCTGTGTCTCTGTGCATCTGCCTGTGGCTTGTCATTCTCTATGTGTGAATTAATGTGTGTGCTGTGTTTCAACCCAGGGCACCAAGCAGCTGCAAATTCCTCTGGGGCAGTGCCTGGAGAGGATAGTTAGAGTTTTTTTTTAAAAGATTTATTTAAAAGGCAGAATGTCAGAGAATGAGAGCAAGAGTGAGAGTGAGCGAGAGGAGAGAGATGATAGAGATCTTCCATCTGCTGGTTCAATCCTCAAATGACTGCAACAGCCAGGGTGGACTAAGCCAAATCAGAAGTCAGGAACTCTGTCCTGGTCTCCTCCATGGGTGGCAGGAGTCCAAGTACTTGGGCCACTTTCTGTTGCCTTCCCAGATGCATTAGCAGGAAGCTGGATCAGAGCAGAGCAGCCAGGACTTGACCTGGCACTCTGGTATGGGATGCTGGGGTTGCAAGCAGGGGCTTCACCTGCTGCACCACAATGCTGTACCTAGTCAGGATTTTGAGACTGAACACCTCCCAGAGGAGAAGCTAGCTCATTACCAGCCAGGTAAGCCATCTTCTTTGCTTCCTGGGTCTGCCTGCCTGGTCCTCAGCCCTCTGCCTACACCTGACTTTCATTTCCATCGCTCCAGGTCAGCTTAAGACTGGAAGAGGTAGGGAAAGGGATGGGGGCAAACAGGAGAGTGATGCTTTGTAATGCATCACTCAGACTCTCAGACCAACCACAGGCTTTTCTTGTACACCCACTTTTCTCCTACATGCCATTGGGCATGTTGTGACAATAGCAGCAAGAATACAATGGTTGTTACCAAGTATTGGGTGCTAAGCACAAGCATTTTACATAAGAGATCTCATTACATTCTCTCAATAATTCTATGAGACTGCCAATATTAGCTTCCCAAGTTAGGGATGATGAAATGAAAGCTAAGAGAATTTAAGTAGTCCAGTGTTGCAGAGCTAACACACAATGAAGCAGGATTTTCCAACGAGAGGTGGGCTGTCTTGGGAACTGCCACAGCTTCCTTCAGCCTGGGAAGAGGTAGTTATTGCAAACATCAGGAAAGGAGGCAAAGAAGGAGTTCCTTCCCCAATTGCTGGCATCTCCTTGGAGCTAGAGGGACTGGAATCTGATTTCAATTTTCATCTCTCAGAGCAGTGAGGCAGCCAAGTATCAAACAAGGGAGAGGGGACAAGACAGGCACACCAGAGAGGGAGGACAGGTTTCTGGGGTTCTGGCCCAGTTTGCACCTGGACTCTGTGACCTTGAACAGGACACTCTGTTGTGTGGGGCTGGGTTTACCTATCTGTAAGTCAGGACAAACATGAGGCTCTGATGGGGCATTCTGAGCCTGGAAGAAAGGATAATTGGGCTAGGTACTCTATGAGTTCCCTCCCAGGCACAAAAGTCAGGATGGGGAATGTGGGCAGGGACCAGACCTGGGGCTGTCCAGCATGAACACCATACAGGAAAAGGAAAGAGAGGGTAAATGCTTTGGACTCACATGTCAAAGAAGACATTGAGATGTCAGGGTGTGTGGCATGCAGGGCGACACCAGGGAACCCTCCAAACACACCCATTCTCTGCCCAAATCATCTCACACGGCCCAAAAGGAACAGACCAGGAACAGAAGGGGAGGGCTGGGGGTTAGGAGATCTTTGTTCACAGGAATCTGGAGGGGAAAGGCTCTCTTCCTCTGGGGCACTGGGTGCTGGGGTGAGGGAGGGTCCCTGCAGAGGGCAGGTTTCTGAGAGGGGGGTGTGTGTCAGTTCCATGTCAGAGCCTCTTTGGAGGAGAGCATCTCTGTGCTGGGGGCGAATCCTTTGTTCTTCACGCTAAGATGTCTTGGAGGGTCTGTGTTTGGGGGAGGGCTCGTCTGCAGCCCAAGGGAAAGATTCCTGTCTTGCTCCTGCCCAACAGGAGGGGAGGGCTTTCCAGAACTCCTGCAAGTACCCAGGGAAGCACCTGGGGAGGGAGTAGGAGAGCGTTTGTCCGGGGCGCTGGAAGCCCTGTATCTGGAGAGAAGCTTCCTCTGGGACACTAGGAGGCCCCTGGGCTGGAGGGGAGCAGGGGCAGAGAGGAAAGCCAGTCGTGTGCTAGTAGCTCCACCGCGCTGGTCAAAGCCCTGGGGCCGCCCTACTTGTGCGCTGACGTGAGCTAATCTACAGACACTGCAGGGTTGGGGAGAGGAGACGGGGCTCCTGCCGAGAAAGGGCCCCAGGAGGGGGGGACGGCGGCCCCTTCATGTTTCAGTGTTTCAGCTTCTCTGTCACCCACCCACCCCTCTTCCCGCCCCTGCCGCTGTTTCTCCACCTAGGCTGGGGCTGCAGGTAGAACCTTGCGGTTTACCGGGAGAATCCGGGCGGAAGCCCAGCTGGGGCCAGATGCAGGGACCCACATTCAGCAAGGGATCCGCTCTGAGGCGATGGTGAAGGGCTCGCGTGCGCGCAAACGCAGGCAGCCCCAGACACACACACATGTATCCACACGCAAACACATCAGCTCCGCGCGTACAAAACCGCACAGACACGCAACACGCCCGGTTAGCCGCTCTCCCAGATCCAGCCCGTCGCAATCTCGCTCTTTGTCTTTGGGTCTCTGACTCCGGCTCGCGCACACGTATCTCACTCCACGCGAACAGCTCTCGCGGCCCCCGCGGGGGCGTCCGGGCTGAGCCCGAGCGCAGTGCGAGCCTTCGCGCCCTAGGGCCGCCGCGCAGTGCGCCCTTCTTTCCTCCGCGCGGGACCCCGGCTGTGCTCCTCTCGTGAAGAGAGGCTGAGAGGCATTCTGCCTACTTCCAGACACCGCCCCCCGACACACACACACACACACACACACACACACACAAACGAAAAGACAGCGAAAAGCCAACCTTTCGCCTCCGTTCCTCGCAATTTGGACAGCGGTCTGTAAAGAGCGACCCGCAGAACCACTTCCAGCGCGGAGTCCCTGGACCGGCGGAGACGGCCCGGGTGACCGAGCCCGGGGCTGCGCATCCTTGAGAAGCATCCAAGTTGGCCGCTTTTGCCTTCAAGGTGGACTTGAGGCCAGGTTAAGGGCGAATGATGGGTGTCGGGGAGACAGCCCGACGCCCAGACGGTCTGCTCCGCCACGGACGGGCGACGCCGTCCTGCCGGCTTTCGGCGCTCCCAGACCAGCTCTCAGTCCAAGGAGGTCGGAACGCCAGCTTCCGGACTCCGGCGGGGATGATCCGAGGGCGGGGACCACTAGATCAGCCCACCCGCTCCCTCCCTCCCCGCGACGGCCGGCGAGGTGGGAAGGGCCAGTATCCGGGCTTAGCACCTCCTCCAGAAATGCAGCACTGGGGCCCCCCCAACCCTTCCTCCGCGCTCCCTCTTTCGCGCGCTCCCTCCCGCCGTCCTCCCAAGGGCGCCCTTCTCCTGCCCGGGTCTACTTCTGAATCCCCCGGGGGTCCCCTGGCTGCTTTCCTCGCCCCCTCCTCATGCCCCTGGCTCGAGGGGTTTCCCCCCTCAGCACCCACCCCCGCACCGCCTGATTCCGCGGGGCGGGAGCGCATTGGGCTGCGCACGGGTGGGGGCGCCGCGCTAGCCTCGCGTAGCTGCTCTGACGCCGCCGTCTCCGCCGCCGCCCTCCGCAGCCAGCCCGCGCCC